CTCAATCGGACTTCTATCATGGACCACTCGATAGACCCGATTTTTAAAGGGGGACTCCAAACTGCTTGCCCAACATCGTCCCTTTTGTCAGCCTGAAGAAGCCAGAACGGTCTTCGCCCCCATTCCTTACAGCAGTAAGGAGTTCCCCAAATTAGAGGGGGGAATGAAGCCAGATTTAAAATTAGGTAGTCAGTGTAGTTAGGTAAATCGGGTCTAATATCGAGTGAAATCTAAAATGGAGGCCGTGCGGAGAATGACTCGGGGAAAACACAGGACAACTCATGGAATGTTAATGAAGTCCCAAAAGGCCCTAGGCCAAAGTCCACCTCAAAGAAACGTTAATGAACAGCCCCCAGCAAAAAGGTGCTGACTCAGAAGTCCTTCCTGACCAGATTACTTCTTTGGCCCACCTGTGTCCCACCCCTCGGGCCTTCCAACCTACATTCCATCACCAAAACTATAAAAAAGGGAAACAACCGCACTTCCACGGATTCCACCTCTTGGGTCCCCTTCTTCCTCCGGGAGAAGTCTTTTCTGCTGTCCTTTAATAAACTTCTAATTTCTACTCTGACCTTGCCTCGGCGTGCTTCTTTGGTGTTATTCTTCAACATTGGGGAAGCAAGAACTCGTCACCGGTCAACAGCGGTAACAACAGGACCCTAATTGGAAGACTGACAGGACCTTAAGTGGAGGACTGACAGGACCCTGAGGGGAATAACTGACAAGGCCCATAGGTTTAGTTTTGACAGGATTCTGGATTTGGGTTGACAATGTCCTCAATGAAGTGCTGATTCTCTGAAAATCGGTAGCTTAAAGTGTACTGCTTGGTACTTTTTCAGTCTTTTAGATGCCATTTATTACTGTCTGACTTCTTTTTGTTTTCTTTTTCTCTATAACTTATAACATGTCTAATTGTTATCCAAGAAAATACCAGGACCCAGAATGCATTAAAGAGCTAGAATTTATTTTCTCGTAATTCTGGTAGTTCAAAATCATGGTGTTTGTAAGAAGGTGGTTCTTCCTGATGCCTCCTGCTACAAATGAGTGTCCTCCTCCTGAGTCCTATAGTCTTGCTGTGTGTGTGTGTGTGTGTGTGTGTGTGCGTGTGTGTGGCATGTGTGTCCTAATATATTCTTGAAAGGACCCCGGTACCATGAGGTTAAAGGTGCTTTTTATTTCCTTTTTAATGGTCATATCTCCAAGTACAAGCTTGTTTTCGGGTGTGGGAAGTCAGGCTAATAGTTACGAATTTCAGGGTACCACAATTCAGTCCTAGCAACCCAGTCCCCCCGGTATATGGGGCCATACTGGGGCAAGGTGGAGAACTTAGGAGGCTATTTGGGGAGCACTTTGAGAGTTTGAACCTGTAGATTCTGAGCTTTGAATGGATTACATCACAGAACTGGACCAGCCCTGGTAGACCTGAGAACATCTGGCAGATCTACTGACAAGCCCTGAAAAGTCACAGGTAGAATCAGCAGAACTCCTCACAGCTAAACCTTCTATGTATTTGGCTGGCCACTGGTGAGGAGGAAGAATACCACCAAATCTGCCACAGGTCCTAAACATTTTCCAAAATATATGGAAATCATACAACTGAGTTTCATTTATGATCCCAAGGCAAGCATGAACATCTCTAATCTTGACTGAGGAGCCAGTTAAAACAGAAACAAGAATATGGTTCTGGTTATTTATTCTCTTTTTATTATAAAAGCATGCATGATGTGAATTTAGAAAAGATGGAGGAAAATGTGAAGGGAATGAAAGCACACAGTAACCTGTCTAGTTCTGAACCAGTATTTTGATTTCCCTTATCAGACTTAGATTTATACTACTGGATCATTTGAGTGCCTATCATATGCAGGAAATAATGGAAGCTTTGAGGAATGGAGGCAGGGGTTAGAGAAACAGCTCATTTCCCAAGAGAGGTGTTGGGGGAGCAAAACCAGCTGATAGGTACTGTGGGAAAGCTGTCTTTTAAGGTAATGCAAGTGTGCCTGTCTTTGTGCTGCTGAGCAGACCAGTGTTTGCACTGGAGTCCAGTAACAAAGGAAGGCAGGGGAGGGAGTAGGAGTCCTGAGAAAGGCCTCAGCTGGAGGCCTGGAGCAGGGGCTTGGAGCAGAAAGGGGCCTTGTGGAAGCTGGAAGGGCCCCTTTCAGTTACATCCTCTAACTTACATTGTGGTAGTCCCTGGGAGAAGCATGCAATGCAGGCTTCCTTACTGCTGTGTTTCAGTTAATGAGTATTATTACCTCATCATTAAATAGTCTTTAAAATGTTCAGTAAATTCATGACATTCATTGTTAAAGTGGGCTGTGATTCAAGGTTGTTTCTATTTTTTTCTTATTATGGATGCTGTTGATGGAGCTTCCTGCCAAGCTCTGTTTCAGCCTTGTTTATTTTATTTTTTTAATATCTTTATTTTATTTATTTATTCTTATGTGGTGCTGAAGATCAAACCCAGGCCCTCACGCATGTGAGGCAAGCATTCTACCACTGAGCTACAACCCCATCCCCCCCAGCCATGTTTATTTCCTTAAGAGACTGATGCTTGACAGTGGAATTTCTGGAAGGAAGTATATAATGTAGACACATATTGGAATAGATTGCCATCTTGTTTTTTCTTTTAAGCAATGTATGAAAGAAAGTGTATGCCTGCACTGCATAGTGTATATTTTATTTTCATCATTTTAATAGGTGAAAAGTGACATCTCATTTTGTTGTTGTTGTTGTTGTTTGGTAACAGGGATTGAACCCAGGGGTGCTTAAACACTGGTATGTGGCCCAGTGGTTAAGCACCCCTGGGTTCAATAAGTTGCTTAGGGCCTGGATAAGTTGCTGAGGTTGGCCTTGAACTTGTGATCCTCCTGTCTCAGCCTCCTGAGCCACTGGTATTTCAGGAGTCCCCCTTTGCACTCAGCTATCATTTTTAATATGCATCCCTTTGATATTAGTGAAGTTAATGTTTTTCATGTTGTCTTTTCATAGTCTAGTTTACTATTCTGTAAAATGTTTTTTTTTCTTTACTAATGTTTTTTATTATATTAAGAATATTAATATTTTGTTTGTCTCCTATTGCAAATAATTTTACCCCCAGTTTTGTGTGTGGAAGGTCATATTTTAAAAATTTAAAATAATTTTAAAAATACTTTGAAAGCCTTTCCTCTAGCTGAGAACAATTAATTTTCCCCCAAGTAGTTAATACATTTTCTGACACCATTGGGCCATTTTTTTCTCCGCTGAGTTGTGATGCTATCTTTATTATATATTAAATTCTTGGGGGGTTTTGTTTGTTTGTTTGTTTTTAAGAGGAAACAATATGCTGAGAATAGGCACTGCAGCTCAGGAAGGCGAAGATCTCAGGATGCCCCTGGGGACCTCAGCAAACAGAACAACCTACGGTAGAGGGCGCTGCCAGGCTAGCAGGATTGTTCATTTCCCATGCTCTGACTGGCATCTGTCAGGTGCCACTCTGTGTTCTACCTGGAGATGAGGAGGTGATAGGCACACCTTTGCCCTGATGATCCCAGCTGAGTCGGTGTTGCAGCAGGAAAGAGAAAGGCTCAAGCTATGCGTGAATGTACTAGAGCCGGAAGAGGAGCTTGGAGGGGCGGCCCAAGCTGCTGCATGCTGGCTGGCTTCTGAGAAGGAAAGAAGAATTAAACACACTGCTTCCGGCACATTAACTCACAGCAAGCCCACTGATACCTCATTTTAAAGATGAAGAAGTGGAGGTGCGAAGAAGGTAGAGCAGCTAAATGCCCGAGGTAGAGCAGCTAAATGGCTTCAGCGCAGGACTTCTCGCTGTATATAACGCGTGCAAGGATCTTTGTAAAATGGGATCTGACTCACTCCATTTGGGGGGGGGGGGCGCCTAAGATTATGTTTTTCTAGCCAGTTGTCCAGAAGATGCTGAAATAAGTGAGAAATGGGAATGTGTAACACCTTGTTTCTCTACTGGAAGGCACTGTAGCAGGGGAGGCACCCGGGATGGGTGCCCTAAGCCTGTTACAATGTAACAGTAATCAACAGTAATCGTGCCTGCTCCTGGAGATGTTAGGACACTGGTGAAATCCCATGTCTCAAGCATATAGCAATCTGGTTGACACTTCAGAATTTTCGTGGACAATAATAACAAAACAATATGAAAACCTGACGTTTTATTCTTCTCCACGGTTAAAACTGGCTACACACTTCCGATGGAAGTTCCTAAGAGCATTCTCAATATTTCCCAAAGAAACGTTTGGATTTGCTCTTGATCTCCCCCCCCCCCCCGCAGCCTCGCTCTTGAATTCTAAAAGAAGTGCATCTCTTTGGTCTTTAGAGGGCTGCGAGAAGGAGGAAAATAAACAGTTACTGCAGTGGGAGCTGCCATTTCCTCCGTCTTGCTGGAAAAGCATCAAGCTTTCTCTCTCTAGCTGTTGCCCGCGTATTTGCTTCATAGCAGAGAAAACAGACCCGAGGTTGTCATTTTCCTTTTAGCCAAGCCCAGATACGCAGAGTACCCCAAGATCTCTTCTGGGTTTAAAACAAAGGGTTTGAACAAAGGCACACAACCTGAGCGCAGGCGCGCGGCCGATGCGCTTTTGGATTGGTTGAACTATGGTCCAATAGGAAAGAAGAATCGGCATCTCTCATTTACATAAAGTCTTCGTCGCCGCGGCCGCGGCTGCAGGCTGTCCAATCAGATGCTAGAGATTTGGAGCCTTCATTTGAATATAAAGATGACAAATAGCCCTGCTCTCCTTACATTACCATCCCAGTCCGTTCTGTCGCCACCTCGTCATGCCGGAGCCTTCTCGCTCGGCTCCGGCCCCCAAGAAGGGCTCCAAGAAAGCCATTACGGAATCACATCGGGGAGTTCATAACCAACTTGAATCTAATGTATGAAATATGATATGTCAAGAGCTTTATAATGTTTTGAACAACCAATAAAAAAAATTAAAAATAAATAAATAAATAAATAAATACAATATTTTGATATTCAAAAAAAAAAAAAGAAAGCCATTACGAAGGCACAGAAGAAGGACGGCAAGAAGCGCAAGCGCGGCCGCAAGGAGAGTTACTCCATCTACGTGTACAAAGTGCTCAAGCAGGTGCACCCCGACACGGGCATCTCGTCCAAGGCCATGGGCATCATGAACTCGTTCGTCAACGACATCTTTGAGCGCATCGCCAGCGAGGCCTCCCGCCTGGCGCACTACAACAAGCGCTCGACCATCACGTCCCGCGAGGTGCAGACGGCCGTGCGCCTGCTGCTGCCTGGGGAGCTGGCCAAGCACGCTGTGTCGGAGGGCACCAAGGCCGTCACCAAGTACACCAGCTCCAAGTGAGGCGCGTCCCTGGCGCCCTGAACCCAAAGGCTCTTTTCAGAGCCACCTCTAAGCTCAAAAAGGAGTGTGCCACCTCCTCTTGTGACCTGTGATCCAATCGGGTGCTGGGGGGAGGGTGCACTGCGCAATGGAGGACATAACTCCTAGGATTGGACCTCTTGTTCCGGACGGCACTTTTTTCTCCCCCCCCCGCCAATCCCCTTCCTTCCTTTCTTTCTATGTCTGTTTTGCTTTAAATCAATCAAGTCAGCCTCGGCCATAGGAAGCTGGAACGGTCCAGGCGATGGCACCGGAGGAAATCAGGCTGGGTGGGGAGTGTACCGAGCTCCTCTGGCCCATCCTCTGCCACCCCACACCCCACTCCGTGTCCCCTCGTGCGTGAGGCTGGAGGATGCCTTGGGTGTTTATACCGCCCTGGCTGGAGCGCTTGAAAACATCATTCTTCGCCTTCCCTCCCTCCCTCCCTAGCCTCCATTAACCACCGCGAACGTCTGTGGGAAAGCAAATTGCAGTTGTGTTTCACATAATCAGCCCTTTACGTGGCGTTTCAGTTCGGAAACACCACATCTGGTTCATGGGCACCCGCTTCACTCAACTAGGATATCCCAGCAATACCTGTGTTCTTCCATACACATATACACATGGGTTTTCCTCCCATAGCAAACGGTGAAAAATCTATTTTCTTTCATCCCCAGAAATGTGTGTGTATATATGTGTCTGAATATGAATGTATCTTACAAACATCTGTATAGAACTAAGCCTAGCAAACGGTGAAACATCCTTTTTAATAAAGGAGATTTTTAATAAGAAAAATCCAATACGTTATATGCAAAGTAAGTATGATGTCTACTTAATGGTATCAAGTAATAAGCAAGGGATGCAAGTCTAACTGGGACTGAGGTGCACTCTAAAATGGGTGAAATATCGGTGATTTCTCAACCAAGAATACCGAGGGTCTACCCACTCTGGAGACCAGTTTCCCTGAATTCGGATTTGCAGCTTGGTTCCCACCAGTGGACAATGGCCTGTCTTACTCCTCACACCACCTCCAATGACAGCCAGGCATTTGTCACTGTTTAACCTCTTAAAGTCTCCTACAGTACATTCGCTTCCTTGTGTTTGTAATTTCTTCTTAAAGAGACAGACAGTTCCTTGTCTCCCTCCAAATTCTTTGCTCTATTCCCAAATTAGCAAATTGGAATTGAAAGATCTAACTGAGGTGGGGGAAGGGCAGACTCTTCAATGCATTCCAGACTGGATGCCTGCAAAATCCCATTTTTTTCTAGAGCCCTGCTTATTTATTAAAATATTTTATAATAATTTTAAACTGTCTCAGATCCATAGAATGCTTAATTAAGTCCTAGCTCAGCCTCTGGATTTTCAAATATTTGATGTGCACTGTCTTCGTTTAACTTAACCTGATTGTTCTTTTTATCTGTTATATAATAATGTAAGTACAGACATGGGTTCCATAGACAATCTCCCAATTTTCTTGATGACAAAAATCTCAATAGCAGTTCTTTGGCACTCCCTTAACATCCCCAGGCTAGGAGAGAGGAACAAGTCCTGCCCATTCGGGCCCTGGGCCTGCCAGTGTAGCAAATAGAGGCAGTCTATTGCTTGGAGCCATTAGCCAAGTAGGTATGACAATTTCCTTGCCAGCGTACCCCATGTTGCTGACATGTTGCAGTGACATTGAATGTAAGTGACCTTGCTCAAGGACCAAGGCAGATTAGGGTGTTCCCGGTTTTAAGATAATCGTGTTTAGGGCGTTCCCGGTTTAGGTTCCAGGTTTAAGGTTTAAGATTATTCCTGCTGGGAATAGGGCGTATCCTGCTGCCTGAGTTCCCCTTGAGTTCTCACGGGATTTAGACAATATATTTTGGAGATAGAAGCCCAGTGGAAGTGGATTTGGGCAGAGAACGTGGATTTGGGAAGAGAACGTGGATTTCCCCAGAACGTGATTGTAGACGGCTGGTGTGAGTTTGGGAATAAAGAGTTGCTGTTTGAATCTACAAGCTGTGTGGTGGCTCGTGATTGTGTGCCCAGGCAGACTGCGGCATTTGTGCCCAGCCAGACATTGGCATTTGGTGGCCCGTACGGGGAACTTCTGAAGCTTGGAGGTAAGTGAAACTGCTCACCCCTGAGGAAGAGCGAAAGAATGGGTGACCAACTCAAAAAACAATGTGTTATTGTTTTGATTTATCTTGTTTTTGTTTCAAGCTGCCTATCCCTAGAAATTTCTCAGGCAAACTGGAAAAAATGGTTGACTAAAGGTTTGAAGTTTGTCGGCCCTGAGGAAGAGAAAATTGATACAACGATTTTTTATTCCGTTTTTGTTTCATTCAGTTTCGGCTTTGTTTTGTGCTATCTTATTGGGTTGCGTTATCTTTATAGTAGATTAGAAATTAGTAAAAAACAAACTGAAAAGATGTTAAGTAAATTGTTAGAGGTTCAGACCATGGAGAAAGACATTTTAGATCAAGCAAAAGAGAAGGTCTCTCGAGCTAGTCAGACAGAGGAAGAAAATTTAAAGGAAAAGGGGTTGTTAGGAAAAAGGCCACAACAGGAGGCTTTTAGTAACTCCGTTTTATCACAAGAGGGTGTAATTCAACCAACAGCCCCACCGATGGAGACAGCTGAGTGGCCCTCAAACCCCGTAGTTGATAAATGGGATCCTGAGACAGGACCTCAAAGATTAGCATGCCCTGTACTTGAACAGGCAGGAGGGCAGCGAATTCACCGTGCTTTAGATTTTAAAACAGTGAAGCAGTTAAAGGAGGCTGTAACAACCTATGGTCCCCAAGCTCCCTTCACGGTAAGCATGGTTGAGTCCATTACTAACTTGGACATGACGCCAGCAGATTGGGCTAGCATGTGTAAATCTGTACTAAATGGAGGACAATATTTGTTATGGAAGGTTGCCAATGAGGAATTTTGCGCGGAGACAGCTAGGCGAAATGCAGCAGCCGGTTACCCTCAAAGAAATCTAGATATGTTGTTAGGAAAAGGACCTTATGAGGGTCAACGGCAACAAATTGAATATGATCCTGCTATATATGCACAAATTGCTGCAGACGCAGTTAGGGCATGGAAGACTTTACAAGGACATGGAGATTTACAAGGTCAGCTATCTAAGGTAATACAGAGAGCTAATGAACCTTACGCTGACTTTGTAGATAGGCTAATTCAAACGGCTGCCAAAATTTTGGGGGATACAGAACAAGCAATGCCATTAATAAAACAACTGGCTTATGACCAAGCAAATCGTTGCTGCAGAGAGGTTATTAGACCATGGAGACATGAAGATTTAAACACATATATTAAATTATGTAGAGATATTAATGAACAAGGGCAAGTCTTGGCAGCTGCAGTACAACAGGCTTTAGATGCCAGGCCAAAAACATGCTATGATTGTGAACAAACAGGACATTTTAAAAGGAATTGCCCCATAGGAGGAGGGTTTAACAAAAGTAGGTATCAAAGGAATAGAATACCAGGTATTTGCCCACGATGCCGTAGAGGGAGACATTGGGCTAATGAATGCCGTTCTCAAACCACCATAGAAGGTACTCCCTTATCAAAAAACGGACAAAGACCAGGTATTTATCCACGATATCGTGGAGAAAGGCATCAGGCTCCATTGCCAAAAAACGGACAGGGGGGCCCAATGCTCCGGGGCCCACAACCACAAATATACGGGGCAGTGGAGGATCCCAGCAACACCATCAGGGTAGTGCCCAGGACACATTGTCCATTAAATCCCTCATCAGACAAACCCAAGGGAGCGCAGGGTTGGACATCTGTGCCTCTGCCAGAGCAGTATTAACTCCAGAGATGGGAGTTCAAATCATTCCCACAGGAGTAAAAGGACCTCTTCCCCAAGGAACAGTAGGCTTATTACTGGGACGTAGTTCATCTACATTAAAAGGACTTATGATAAGTCCTGGGGTAATTGATCCCGATTATGTAGGTGAAATAAAAATTATAGCTAGTTCTCCAAGAGGTATATCAGTAATTTCACCTGGAGATAGAATAGCACAGTTGTTAATAATACCCAGCCTACATAATAAATTTCCTAGTCATAGTGTAGAAAGAGGTTCCAGGGGATTAGGCTCCACAGGTGTAGATTGGGCTATGTTGTCTTTAAATTTAGATTCTCGCCCAATGCTAAAACTAAATATTCAAGGTCATGAGTTTAATGGGCTACTGGACACAGGAGCTGACCTTAGCATCATATCTCGTCAAGAATGGCCAAAACATTGGCCATTACAACAAGCCACTCAAACGCTTCGAGGCCTAGGAGTGGCAACTAATCCCCATAGAAGTTCTATGATATTAGATTGGAAGGATCCTGAAGGATGTGAAGGAACTATACAGCCATATGTATTGGATCATCTTCCTATAAATTTATGGGGACGAGATGTCCTAGATCAATTAGGTTTGACGTTAACAAATAACATCAATCCTAATGCGCCCACTACTAGGGCTAGACAAGGCTTTAGGAAAGAAAAAAGATTAGGAAAACAAGGGCAAGGTATAGCAGCACCAGTACAAATAGATCAAGGAACAGACAGACATGGGTTGGATTTTCAGAAAGGGCCACTGAGACAATCAAAATTACTTGGAAATCAGAAAGACCAGTGTGGGTTCCTCAGTGGCCCCTGACTAAAGAAAAGATACAAGTAGCCCATGATCTGGTCAAACAACAATTAGCGGAAGGACATATACAACCTTCCATATCTCCCCATAATACTCCCATTTTTGTCATCAAAAAGAAATCTGGTAAATGGAGATTGTTGCAAGATTTCAGAGCCATTAATAATGAGATGGTTATTATGGGACCTGCTCAATCAGGGATTCCTCAATTGTCTGCTTTGCCAAAAACCTGGCATGTTTTAGCTATAGATATTAAAGATTGTTTTTTTTCAATTCCAATTCATCCCGAGGATAGTCCACGTTTTGCATTTACTATCCCTGCATTAAATCATGAAGGTCCTGATCAGAGATATGAATGGAAAGTACTCCCTCAAGGGATGGCTAACAGTCCAACTATGTGTCAAATATATGTTAACAAAGCAATCCAGCCACTTAGAAATCAAAATCCTGAACTACAAATATTTCACTATATGGATGATGTATTATTGGCACATAAAGATAAAAACATATTGCTGGAATGTTATGCCACACTTACAAACTTATTAAAAAATTATAATCTAGAGATAGCAATAGATAAAGTACAATTAAATTTTCCAATTAATTATTTAGGAGTTCTACTATCCTCAACCATGGTCCGTCCACCAAAAATTCAAATACGAGTAGATCAACTCAAATCACTTAACGACTTTCAAAAGTTATTGGGAGACATAAATTGGATAAGGCCTTATCTAGGTATACCAACAGG